ACACCCATCAGAGCAAAAGATACTAAAGGAAACAGTGAAAGATCAACAGTGCAAAGAGTATAAAGTTAACCAGTCAATACAGCACTTCAAACCCACAAATAGAGAAAATTTAGAGAAGATTGTGCCCATTAAAAGAGATAAAAGAAAGATCTAAATAGGGACATACCGCCCTGGTGGAGGGAAGAGAGGAAACCCTAGCAATTGCTCCCAATGAAACCTGGAATTTCTTCCTTTCATTTTCTTTCTCTCTCTATCCCTTCATCAACACTAGATCTGGACATTTTCCCTTCCAATTTCTTTCTTTTGCTAGGTTGCTGCTGGGTTCGAAGGAACCCAAGCTACTAGGTTCCTAAATCCTTTTCTTTAACCTCTAAATCTTTTTATTTTCTCTCCCTTTCCCCAACACCAGATTTAGGTTTCTTTGTAGGTTCCCACTTGCTCAGCTTCATGTTTTGTTTTGGTGAAATTGACGATGATGAAGAAGAGGAAGATAAGGCTACAGATGATTAGAATGAGGATGGAGGTGAGGAGGAAGATGGATCTAGTGAGGACAGTGAATAGCAAGAAGGAGAAAGGAAAGGAGAGAGAGAAAGAAAGGGCTAGGTTGGGTGCGTTTGGAGTTAACGGAAAGTAACAGAAAGTGAGTGTGTATAACGGAGTGTGTAATAGGAGGAGGGTAGCATTTCCCTTGTCACTATTTGTGTAGAAAAGGAATTTTTTGGAAGAAATCATATCTTTTAACACCAAATTGTAGAGATCAAAAAGTTGAGGATTAAATTATGTGGAGTTGGAGTTCAAAAGTTAAAGACCAAAACTGTCATTTGACCATTAACAAAAATTGCTTAAAAGGCTAAAAACTTTGACACGGAGTTTTGATTCAGCACTTGACTAAAGGTGTCAGCACGTTGTTGAGGGTGTTGATCTCTTATGCGATTTCAGCAAGTTTGTGGCTCACTTATTGTTTTGGTGTGTCCCACTTCTATTCTAATTAGATTTTCTAAAATTCTATAAATACTCGCCCAAGTCCAATATTGAAGGAGCTTTAAGGGTGGTGACAACCCTCTTCTAAGCACTCTTGGAGATCAAAATAAAAAATTCATCAACAATAGAAAATAAAAAATTTAACAATCTTAAATCGGATTTGTTTTTCTTTAGATTATTTTATCTATTGTTTAATATTCTTATATTCATAACTATGATTTTAAATTTTATTATTCTTATTATGAACAAACTTAACCAGCTATGACTATGATATAACTCAATCAATTCAATATAAATTTGTGGTTTTTATGCTTTTGAAATTGGTATTTATGTGAATATATATTATTGTTTTTAATATTTTTCAATGCTTAATCACCATTAAAATTGATATGGAGAGCATAATTGAGACCGAGAAGAAATTTTATGCAATAACTTCTAGTAATATATATCATGAATTGAAGAAAACCAAAGATGTCAATGTGATTTGTGCAGCATTAGTGAAAACTAGATACTCTAAATTAGATTATTTTGGATTTAAGACTTTTCATGTAGTACTAATTTTCACATGTACACACAAAACATTAATCTCATTTTTTGATCCTTATCAAAGAAGTTAAGATACTCTGACTTAGCAGCATAAAAATGGAACCGAAACTTCTAATAAAAAAAATTTACAAGGAATTGTCAACATTTGTTAGGTACATTGAACAGAGATCCAATGTTTATGATAAGATTACCAAGTCAGCATGACTTCATTGAGATAAGTTAAATTATTCTTATTATTGATAAAGTTTATTACTTTTTGTGATGGATACTTCGGAAAACTTTAGAAAGGAAATGTAGACATGATCAAACCAAAGGCCATATAATTTGACCTTGGCTTGCTAGCTGAATGCATTACAAAACTATCCTTGATCTTATAGAAATGACTGAGAGAAGGAATATTGGATCTTTAAGGCTGCTTTTGATCTTCTCTTTTTCAGCTTTTCTTACATGTGTCTCTAATATCAGCTTTGCTGCTGATTCCTTTTACCAGAGTAGTTGTTCCAACAAAGGCAGCTTCATCGATGGCAGTACTTACCAGGCCAATCTTGACAGTCTCTTCTCCCATCTCTCCTCTACCACCAATATCTATTATGGGTTCTGCAATACGTACTTCGGTAAAAAACCCGACCTGGTCACGGCCATTGGACTCTGCAGGGGAGACCAAAGTCACGATGCTTGCAGAAGTTGCCTGAAACAAACCATGTCCGAGCTTAAGCAGAGCTGCCCCACCAGCTTGGAGGCAGTTGGATGGTCGGAATTCTGTACGTTGCACTATGCAAACCAAGAAATTTATGGAAAATTGACTACAGGTCCTCACCTTGGACTATACTTCGGAGATAAATCGAACGGTGATGAGTTCAATACAAGGTTGAATTCCTTGTTGAATAACTTAATCAACCTTGCGGCTGCCGGAGGCCCTCTTGTGAAGTATGCAGTTGACAACGGAACTGGCATCAACGCACTCGAGCAGTGCAGTCCTGATCTGTCCCGGCAAGACTGTAGCGATTGTCTGGCGACAGCCATAGGAAAGATTCCAGATTTATGTAATGGGATGACCGGATGTAGAATTGTGACTCCCAGCTGTAACTTGAGGTATCAAACTGAACCATTTTCTGAGGCTTTAGCTAACATTTTTTCTTCATCATCGCCACAGTCTAATATCCTGCGGCCATCATCACTGCCATCTGCCTCGTCGGGAGAAGGTGAAGTTGCTAATTATTGAGAGAGAGAATAAATATCTAGGGATGATAAAAGAAGATTTATGATTCTTTCACGGCCTAATATGCGATTGCATTTTGCAGAAGATTTCCATTTTTTTTGTTTTTTGAAGTTAATCCGCGCATAATCTTATCTTACCAATATGAGTATCATTTTGATCTCAAAAAATATGAGTATCTTATATTCTCCTTTTAATTAGATATTATATTATATCACAATAAGGACATAACCTAAAATAAAGAAAGCAAAAGCAGACACTCAACTTCAATGGATTGTTCTTGCACATTTATTTTATTTATTTTTTATTTTTTTTGCAAAGATAAATTATAGATTCAACTAATGATTGGGTCTATAATTTTGGATTTTGCAGGAAAGACAAAGAATAGAACTACAATTATAATTGCCATTGCCACAGGTGTTTCAGTTCTCAGCATTCTGTTCCTTATATATTTGAAGTCGAGGAAAAGAAAGCCAAGGGGAAATGTCAAAAGTAAGTAATAGTATTAATTATCCTCTAATCTTTGAGCATGTTTATATATTATGTCAAATTTCTAGTATAACTTTTGGTCTTAGAACATGTTGGGAGTAAAGTATGTCACAAATATCATTTTGAACTCAGAAATTAAATTAGTTTATTTTGGATTTAAGACTTTTCATGTAGTACTAATTTTCACATGTACACACAAAACATTTTTTTTTTATCAGCAAAATAAAATATATTTAATTAGATAGAGTACAAGGGGTACTCCAACTCAATGACAAACAAAAACAAAATTCTAACTAAAACAATGTAATCCCAAAAACCATGTAACCCAACACAGTCCAAGCACACTACTCATCATGCTTTCCGTCTTTGTGCTTATGGAACGCTCTCAACAAGCTTCTATGCTTCCTCATGGCAGCAGCACACTCCCGTGGATTAAGTTTCAAATCAACTATTGAGAAGACACTACCAGCCACCTTTGTTTTAATCCATAAAAATGTTTTGGACTGAATCATATGGAGCAAACCATCCCTACACTCCCCTTTATTCTGAAAAACTCTAATGTTCCTCCAATACCAAATATACCAAGACCCAACAAGAAAAAGACACGCCCCTAGCTCTCTCCCTACCAGACCCCCCAACTCATACAAGAAAAGCTCCATCACCCCTCCCACTGTATTTGGCATCACAACCTGCAGACCCCACCAGGACATTACCTGAACCCAAATTAACCAAGTTTCATCACATGAACAAAATAAATGATTGCACTCCTCTTCCTCTTTTTTGCACAAACCACACCTTAGCTCTTCAACCGACAAATTAATCCCTCTTTTTCCTAAATTTCTTTTTGTTGGGAGTCTGTCCAAACATAATCTCCACCCAAAAAAACTAACTTTTGAGGGTACTAATTTACACCAAATCAACTTACAAATTTGATCAGGAAGGATGGACTCCATTGGTGACAAAAACTCATATGCCGTCTTCACCGCGTATCTCCCTTCCACATCATGCCTCCACGTCCAGCAATCTACGCGACCTTCCGTGATTTGTACTCTGCTTAGCACCTCCCACAACACCGCCTCCTCCCCCCTCTCGCGACCCAACCTCCCTCTTCTCCAATCAACATTCCATCTCCATAAACCCCTTTCCCACAACCCCATTTCACTAACCATACCGTCCTTATTCATAGCTAGCTCGAATAACCTCGGGCATAACTCCTTTAGAGATATATCCCCCACCCAAATCTCGCGCCAAAACCCTACTTGCCTTCCATCACCAACCATCCACCTAAACCCCTTCCCTAACATGTCTTGTAATTTGATAGAGTTCCCCCCGACACTAATAACATCCCTCCAAATCCTAGACATCCTCACACTCTCCACGGCCCTGATGTCCACCTCCCTCCGACCCCCATAATATTTATCCCACACAACCCGTTTCCATAAGCTCTCACCTCCCTCACCCTCACCCAGCCTAAACCACCACTTCCCTAAAAGTGCCCAATTCCTCCTCCTCAAGTCCATGACTCCTAACCCACCCTTCTCCTTACTACGACATACCATCTCCCAACTAACCCAAGAAATCTTCCTCTTTAATTCAGCCCCACCCCACAGAAACTCCCTCTG